TCTAATCATTTGTTAAACCACTTATAAGTATTAACTTTATCAACTCATCTGAATGTTTCGGTTTTTTAATCAACGGTTATGGTTAAATTGAAAGTTATAAATGATGAAATATAAAAGAAATTAAATAAAGGACGAGTTTGAACAAATTCTGTTTTATCTTTGTAAATAATCAGTTATTTTTGGAATTAAATTGCCTTACTTTATCCCTTAGATTTAGTTTTAATTTCAATTATCCTTTAGATTCAATTTTAGTTTCATTTATTTCTTACATTGGCTTTTTTTTGGAAAAAAATTCCTTTCTTTTCATGTATAAAATTTAGTTGTTCTAATTTTTTTTATTATCAAAGCTCGTAGGTGAAAGCATAAAGTGAATAAAGGCCGTTTACCAAACATTTACCCGGTATGTGTTTATTGGTAAAATTTTACACTATCATTTCCTTACCGGGTAATATTTTAGTTCACCAAATGACATCATATGCAATAATTTACCTGGACTGTGGTAAGAGTCGTCGTCCTCACTTATCGGGTAAGACTCTTGGTCCTTGTTTCGCTCTTACCCGGGTAAGATTATTGGTCCTTATCATATTCATCCGTTAAGGTAAAGTGACTTGACACGAGCTTACCCGGATAAGAGTTTGATAAACGGCCCCTAAGTTTATTAAGTTAGTTTTAACAAAGCTTATATGTGAAACAATGATTTTTATTTAAAAGATTCGGTTTTTTGATATGAAATATGAATCATTTGCAGGAAAAAAGATTCGAAGTTGAAAATTTTGAATTTTAGAAGGAATGAGATAAATTTTTGGATGTGATAATAAGATAAATAAATAATGTAATATCAATTAGAGTTGATCATTTGTGGGCTCGAGCCAAGCTTAACATAATCTTTTTGTCCAAGGAGCCTAATACAACAAAACTAAGCCCGTCTTTGCAGACTTATGGATTTGGCGGTACCCGTCTTATAAACAGGTCGGGCTTGTCCACGGACTAATGAGTTTATTTTTTTTTTAATTTGAGAAACTTTACATAAAGTCATAAGTTATATAAAATCATTTAAATTACATGATTTCTTTCGAACATAAAATAAGATAAAAAAAAGATATCAATTACATAGCGTATGAAAGAAATAGTTTCACAATACATGGAGTATGAACATTTTCTCTCCAATGATTTATCAACTTTCAAAATCCGGGTTTTTCAATAAGAAAATATTTATCATCTAATATTTCAATATTGAAATTTGAGACGTGCTATATAGCATATTGCATATTATATATATTTGGGTGACGGTTGGTACTTAGTAGAGGGAATCCAACSCAAAGCCACTKCTAAATCTTTTTAATATACAGTTGTCATTAAGTTATTAAATATATATATATATATATATATATAATTTAATCAACTATAATAATACAATGGGTCTATTTTGCCGAGAATAATTGTCCAAGCTTGCTTTTCTAACAGGTCGAATCTAGAGGGTCGTACCGTCCGTGAACAACACTAATATCAATATACGAAAATACCCCAATTTATAAAGCTAATCTATACTATATTATAAAACATTTGACAAAAACTCTTAAAAATCATTTTTTATGCGTAAAGTACTGTTTATTAATGCATATTACTTAAAACTCAATATTACAAGTAGATTGTACGTAAGTACAACTTATTAAAGCTCCATATCTGGATTCGTGTAACTAACTGCAGATCAAATACAGGATAAACATCTCATTTTAAATATAAAAAATCTAAAATATAATTAGGATAATTGAAACACCCCATCCCACACATTACATGTAACACATATTTCATACAAAAGAAATACATGATATCATTCATTTCAGGTCCCTTAGTACAAGAATCTAACATGACCAAATACAAGGTCCAAAAATTCAAAATATATTTCTTGTACTAATCAATCAAAACAGATCTTCAAGCAGAAGCGCATAAATGAACATATTAAACTTTTCCTTTCTTTTTATTGTTTGAACCTCCTGCAACACATAATTTAAATCACAAAACGAGGGTTAGACCAAAAGGTCTAGTGAGTTACCCTATTTATGTTATTGCAGGGTGAAAAATCACCAAAACCTTTAGGGAAAATATCATTTCATATATATAACAAATATATGAATAAATAGGAACATAATACCAAATCTTTTCYATTATCAAGCAAAGCATTCCGCTTATTCAACTCTCAAAACTCTGAACCAATCAGGTTCCACATAATGCCACTTTTAAACCTTTTTTTTCTTAACCAAACAAGGTTATTTAAAGYTTCAGGCCAAACCTGACATTTTCTYCTCAATAATATCCAAACTATGATTTCCAATAAGAWYCTTGATCCTAAATCTYTAAGTCAYAAAGAAATAAAGATTYCGGACCACGGTARTCTTAAAGGATATAATAGAATGMGTTATATCATACAACACACATACAAATGCCACCCTTATATCCAAAGGTACACCTCTCCTTGATATGCCACCCTTATCCCATGGTA